ATGCAATAAATTTCCGTCAATTGATGAAGAATAAAATTGCCCCCTATTTTTGAATTAAAAAGTTTAAGTCTGCCGTTATAAAGTAATAAATAGAGTGTAAGCATGACAGCTTCTCAGCGATCTCTCGAAAAATGCAATTGAGAAAATAACATTTAAATCTACAGTATTGAATGAAGTCCAACAAACTTATTCATTTCCTTTATTGTTCATTCTCAAATGTAGATATTCGTTTCCCACAACATAACGATAAATTAAAAGGGAAACAATTCGAGATAATTAGGCCTGTGATAACCAAAAACTCGATTAAATCACATATAACAATTATATTTATAAAAATACCAAACCATATTTAAAATAAGGTAAATAAGGTGAATTATTTATTGTTTGGATAGATGTAATAAGATTAATAAATAAATCAAAACTGAATTATTATAAATAATAATAATATATGAAGAAGAAGAATAAAATCAAAGTTGAACTATTATAAAAAATAAAATTATTATATAAAGAAAAAGAATCAAATCAGATAAAATTTTTTGTTTTAGGTTAGGTTATGATAAATATACATTGATTGTAATATAATAAAAAAAAATATCATACAACCCATGTTAATTTGTAACATGGACTCATATGAAATACAGCATTTAATATTACTATCATATTAATTAGGTGGGTTGATTCATTATATCTACATATCTAAGGAAAAAAAAAAAAAATAGAAATATATTATTAATATGTGCAATATTCATTTCAAAAATGGAAAGTGTTCTTTAAAAAAAATGAAAAATTTATTACTTTGATCGAGCTCTTTTTTTCATGCTTGCGCTTGATGCACGACCGCCCTTATTTTGTGGAGGCGGAGTAGCGCTAATTGGCGGGCCTGTAAAGTTTTTATTATCTGTAGGTGGTAATGACTGCCTGCTGGGATTTGAACTCGTCAATGATTGTGAACGTTGTGGTGAAGTCGTTTTCGAACGTTGTGGAGGTGGCGGCAGAGAAGTCGAAGCATTAATTGTCTCAGCACCGGCCTAAATGATTGCGAGAAATAATTTATGACGTGTAATATATAAATTAATGAGTATAGTTATATTAGATAATTTCTCACCTTCTTATTAATCCATCTTTTTTGAACTGGATCAAAGTAAAATGAGCTTTCTTCTCCTAAATTAGCAGTTTTACCACCGACTTCTTTCTTTCCAAACCATCTTCCAAACCATCCCGTCTTTTCTTCTGCTGAAGATAAATAAATTTATGATCTATCAAGGGATAAAAATGGATAATACATATAACAAACTCATAAGGCGAATAATATCGTTACCTTTTTTATCCTCCTGTTTTGCTTCATGTTTCTGTTCTGTTTGAGGGGTATTATTATTAGTTTCAGTGTCAGCGCCAGTGTCAGCTTCAGAATCTGCGGGGTGATCATTCTTCTTTTTGGTTCCGAATGCATTGTTTCCTAAACCCAAATCATCAAAATCATCATCAAAATCATTATTACGATTCGATGTGTCTGTCGTAGTTACAGGAGCTGGAGCTGGAGCCGAAAAAAATGGGGTGAAACCACTATTGTCCATTGGAGATATAAAATCACCTCCGTCAACAACATCGGTTTGTGCTTGGTCCACATTTTGAGCTACATTGGAATCGGCATTTGGACTGCTCCACCATGCAGAATCATTGTTGTATGTAGATGTATTATTTCCTAATGGTTGATAATATGGATACATGGCTTGTTGCTTTTGTTTGTTATTTGCTTCAGCATTAGAATTGTCCGATAATGAATAGTTGTATCCCGATTGCGTTGATTGTTGTTCATTTGAATGTCCGTTATATTGCAGGCTATTATTAAACGATTGCCAATTATTATACTCATTTTTAACATCCGTTGGAGAAGTTCCAATAGACCCTCCTTCAGGAACGGAAGACATTGTATTTTGTCCATCAGGTGTGGTAGGACTAAAGTTACTATTATAACTATTAACCAAATCATACTGTACACCAGTAGGAGTTGACAACCTTTGCTGATTTCCATTTAATTGTCTTTGAATTATCGCATTTGGAGTAGTAGCACGACGCGTATCTATAGGATTAGGAATAGAGCGAAAATCTGAAGCAGACGCACTACGTGATGGCACTTCAGAAGTAGGATGGGTAATGGAACTGAAATGCGAAAATGGGCCAACAGCCTCTTGAGTGTTTGAAAATGATGTCTTCGTGACATTTTCATCAACTGTGTCTCCTGCAACAAACTTGTGGAATTTTCCTTCTAATGAACCCCATAAGGAGTCAAGGGTCGCTTTCGGCATTTTTTTTGCAAAAAGCCATGATGATGTTTCATTTATGCTAATTGATCATTAAACATTTTTTAGTTAATAAATTTTTAAATTGCGTAAATTATATCAAGTTCACTTGCCCATTATTATTTCCTCCGTGTTCGAGCAACCGTTGTGTTAAATCCTTCAATTTTTGTAAGAAGCAGCCGTGGAAATACGGTGAACCTTTGGTATATACCTTTACAATGTTTGCAATGGATTCGCAATATCTATATTTAGACAATACAATTAAAATATTTCGTAAAATGAGTATAATAATGATGAAAAAATATAAATAATATATATACCTTCTAGATTCATTCAAATATCCACAATCGGCCAACCACCATGCATAAAGTAGTTTGTATGCCTGTAGGTGAGGTAATCCACCATCATTACTATTCAATGAAAGTCCAAATTCATATATCTCAGTCATACGCAAGGACTGCCAATTATGAAAATTACTTATGGACAGATTATGTGTGTAATCCATGCCTAATAGTGTGAAACGAACATTCGGTGCGTCAGAGCCAGATATAATAGACACCGTTGGGGATAACATATAACTATAAAATTTACGAATTAATAAAAAAATTTAAAATTATAAAAATTCCAATCCTTGAGCATAATTACATACCAGATGTGTGCAGCATGAACCCAACCACATTCTTTAAGCATATCTCCGAGAGCAGAAATCACCTGATTATCTCCCGGTGTTCGATTAGCCAAGATCATTGCTATTGTTTCTCGCCATTTTACTAAACTATCAAGTGGAACATCACGAGCTGATGAGGATGAGTGTGACGTTGAAATTGACGCACCACCATATGGAACATTGGGATTAGAGCTATAATGTGAAGTATTTGGTAACGTAGGAATCATTGCTGCAGCTGGTGATTGAGTAATACGATTAAGTAAATTACTATACGGAAGGAATTCCTTAGCTATATTGAATAGTTGTAATATTAAATACAAAAGGAAAAAAAATAATTATGTTCAAACATCTTATATAATTTACATACCTGCATTCTGTCCTTGACCAGCAAACAAAGAATATAACACTCTTAAACTTTCTCTTCCATTTGACTCTAAGGCTTCTCCTTTTTGAGTTCCCATTTCACGTTTTATAAACCCGGTAACAACCTCTTTCCATAAATCCTTATTGACACAACTGGCAATTATCAATGCATGTGCCCACAAATTTTCATTCATTGCATGATTTATTGCTACAACACGATCTCCTTTCAACAATAGTTCTTGTAATTTGTCGACAGCTTTAGATGAAACAGAATACGTGAGTGAAGTCGATTCTGGTGTTTGTGATAAATCTTCAAAACTTGTATCTGCAGGAACTGTAAAGTTTACTTCATCATTGTCGCTTTTAGATGCGAAAGGAACTAAAATGTTACGAACAAGTTCTTCAACTTTTGAACTAATTTATTTTTCCGCATAATAATTGGAGGATAATTTTAAATATTGTAGCTGTTATTGAAAAAATCGATAGAAATATAATATAAAACTAACCTTCCAATTAACATGCCGTCATTCTCGAACATTATTTTAAATAAATTCCAGACAATAATAATCATTTCTAATTCCTTCTTTTCAATTTCTTCTCCGTTAAAGGAACTTAATTTCGTTTCTGTTACTTGAATTTGATCATCTAAATATTTTAATACACTTTTCCTTTTAGCCTTTATTCCACCTCTGTTATTATCCATAAGCAAAGGACCTGGAAAATCGGTAATGTCTGATACAGGAATGATGTCTTTGAGAACACGAACAGAAAAAACGCCAGGTGCAGATTTAGTGATGGGTGTACTTTGATCAGTACTAGTGAAACGTTGAACTGTTCTTGGAAACATTGTAAACATTTTTCCTCCAAATCCAAAAGCAATAATAGGACGGCACCCCTTAGTTCTTCCCAAAGGATCATTTACAGCATTCACATCATCAGTACCATAATATTGTTGATAGTCTGATTGTAGCGGATCCAATGAGACACCAGAATCCCTTTCTAGGTATTGTGTGTCATGATTACCGTATGAAGCAAACGATGATGCTGAATATTGTTCGGAATAAGCATTCGCATTATTGTAAATCTCAGTGGTCATCACTTCAGAGATGCCAACTGCAGGAATTATTGAGCGCATTACATTACTGTTAATTTGCTTCCCGCAATCTGAACAAAATTTAGCGGTACTTTTATTCTCTCCCCCGCATTGAGGATATGGGCAGGATATTAAGATTGATCCTTTTGGAGATGGAGACATCGGGGGAGGAGACGTTTGTGAAGGATGAGAAGGAACGTGTTGATATCCTTGATAATAATTAGATTGTTCCGTTTCAACCTTGTTGTCCACTGTGGGTTGACTTGTCGCTTGATGATTAATTTGACTTGCATCATAACTTGTATATTGGTAATTAGCTTGACTTGTCTCATCATTATTGTCTATTGTAGCTTGACCAGTCTCATGTTCTTGGTACGGATAATTAAATTGTCCCTGTCCATCTGTACCATCAACAGCAATTTCTCCCATATTGTAGCCTAGATATTGATAATTTGATTGATCTGCTTCGGCGACAGTTTCTATCGCAGCGGACTGATTAGTTTCATATGCAGGATATTGATAGTTTGTAGCAACGGTATTATCAAATCCTGCTTGACTCGTGTCATAAGATTGATACAAAATCTGTTCCTTTTCAGTGATAGGCTCTGCAGCGGTTTGATTTGTGTCATATTCATTATATTGATAATTAGCGAGATCGGTTTCAGTCGTAGTGCCTCTTGAAGTTTGACTAGCATCATATCCTTGATACTGATAATTCACTTGTTCCGAACCAGTCGTAACGTCTCCAGTTTGAAGATTAGGATCATACCCTTGATACCGAGAATTTTCATCATTTGAACCCCAATGCTCATATCCATAATTATATTGACCAGAGTATTCATACTGGTACGATGAATTTAGAGCTGTCGTATCGATATTTTGCGATGGAATTGAGTGTCCTTCATGCGTGTTAGCTAACCCTTCTAATTCTAAATTACCAGGTTTACTAGCTGACCCTAGAACTAAATCGTCCAAGTCATCCAATTTAGTCGGTTCATCTTTCGGCTTATCATTAATTTCTTCTGTATCACCGGCAGCAGAAACTTCAGACATTATTTTCGAATCATCTATTAATGAAACAGGTGGTTCAGCCTGTGAAAGTTCTGATTTCGGATGACTCTCCAACTCTTGAGGCTGATATTCAAATATATCACGATCATCTCCGTAAGTAATATTTACTTCTTGGTCCTCATTTTCCAACCCATTTAAATCATTATCATTTTCAGCAGGAGAATTAATACGTGAAGCATTTTCCTTTTTTGAAGAAGTAACTGTGTATTGTGAGCTCTCTTTATTTGTCTCTATTGTTTCGACCAAAGTAACTGCGGCAACATTATCATTGATTGGTGACGTCAAATCGCTCGATGATGATATAGTTAGATGTTCTTGAATTTTGAAATTAGGATCAATGTCTTGATTTATAGTTGGAGAATGCTCGACCGTTTCCTTATTTTCTTCATTTTCTTTGTTATCTGATGAAATTTCGCGATTTTCATTATCACTCTTAAAAGTATCAACAAAAAGATTTGAAGGTACTGCATCAGATTTTAACGCGTCATAAATGTTCTGTTTGGATCCATCATACGTTGTACCTACTTCACCCACACTATCCGTATTATTTGGGATACCATTGCTATTAACCATATCCTCACCTCCTTCCTTTTGTTTTGAATTTGAAAGTTCTTTATTCGAATTTGGATCAATTGTAAGATTTTGAAAATTGATTTCATTTGAATTATTAATTTCTGTCAATTGTTGAGTATATTGATAATACGTCGAAGGATCTTGACTATATAAAGAAGGATCATAATGATTTTGATCGAACGTTTGATTAGGATAATACGTTTGACTAGGATCGTATGGTTGATTAAGATTATAAGCTTGATTCGGGTCAAATGTTTGGTTTGGATTGTAGGTTTGATAATAATAAGGATCGTACTGTTGTTGACTAGGATCATAATATTGCTGTTGTGAATAGTAAAATTGCGAATTATCTTGACCATTGGTATACGAAGCATCATCATAACCATATCCTGTATAGTCATGTTGGTTCTGAGTAATAGTATTTGCTTGAGGAGAAGTTACACTCTCGGTAGTGCCGTTAACGTACTGTCCTTCATGATAATGATTATATTCAAAACCACCATACTGTTGAGTGACCATTGAGTTAGTTACTGTACCGTCAGTATTTTCCTGCAACGCATTTGAACCATTATTATAATCGTAATGTGACGAATAATCAGTCGTTGTCTGTTCGCTAGCAAGACTGTCGAATGGACTCTGTTCAATAGAATCGCTAAACAAAGCAGCTGCAGCACCAGCGATCTTGGAATTTTCTTGATCTAAATTAAAGGCATTCCCTTCCATTACTACCGCTAACAGCTATGGTCTCAGAATGAGATGTACTTTGTTCATAAATTAGAGAAAAAAATTTTATTTTCTTTGCTTATGATATATATATATATATATCTATAAAAGTATTTTTTTAATAAAAAGCAAAATTTTGGAATTAAAAAAAATTATATTTTAGTCGTTTTTTCTATTTTCAAAAATTTCTAAAATCAGACTGATTTAAATTTTTGAACTAAAAGAATTATACCAATGAGATCCATATATTCATTACAATACAATAAATTTTTGTTTTAAAAAAAATAATTCTCCGAATAAATAAAAAATAAAACAACCGATGCGATGTTACACCTGATGGGAATTTTTGACAATTTGACGTTTTAAATGTTTTCATTCATTAGCTGAGAGTTTTTTTTTTTTTTAAAAAATCGCGATACATCTTGTTCAATTTTTTTCTTTCCGTTTCAACCAATGCAAAGTTGACAAGTTTACAAATATTTATATCAAAGAAACCGGTTTTAACAAAAAAAAAAAAGTGTTCGGAATATCCTTTGCTTGATCTAAGCCATTCATGATTGTAATCCTTTAACGGGAATTCATAATGAACACGTCTAAAACCTATATGTATATGAGACAATTGAAATAAAAAATTATTTAAGCTTTTCTTTTTTTTAAAAAAAACGTGGCATTAATTTTTTTTTTTTTTTTTTTTTTTTTTTTGCAGATGGCGGCAAATTTTACTTAAAAATGCGGCCATCCTAAAATGTGAACGTTTTTAATTTTAATTTTATGATTTTTAAATGTTCTTTGATACATAATAAATATGCCAGATGGCTTCAAATTTCTCATTAACATTGCCCAAATTTTAAGCCACGGGCAAACATCGCCTCAATTTTAAGCCGCAGGGATCAAGTCTGTTCCGGTTGGAGACCGTCTACACGTCTTTATAACAAAAAAGATAAAAACTTAAATAAGACCTATCAAATAAGTATTAAAATAATAATTAAAATAATAATCGCATTCGGAAGATCAAGAAAAAAAATTTGTTTTTACTCAAATTCTGAACAATTTCCGAATTGAAAAAGTTAGTTTTAGTTTGATTAACAATCAACAGATTTGGTAAAATTACCTCTGATATTCTCGATAAGTTAGGTATTCAGTATAAACGACACCCGGTTTGACGTATCATGAACTAAAAGAACTTATTTTCATTACGGAAGGATTTTATAATTGAATTCACGCGTTTTTAATCATGAAATCTTAAAGATTTTATTTTATGCTTTTGAGAATTAATAACTATATACATAATAATACAAGTCAATTAATAATTCGAATTTAATTCATTTGTCTTTTATCTCGATTTCAGTTTCATTGTTAGTATTGAATAATTCATATTCATCCATATACTTTAAGATTACCCTAGTAATTAATGCCGCAAGAGCGATCCAGAAGAATGCGACACAAGTGATGAAGAAAACAAAAATAATTGCAATCAAAAGAAGGAATCCTATTTTAAAAATCAGTTATTAAAGAGTTACATTAAAAAAGAAATGAAATGAAATTGAAAGAATTGTTGGAAAGTACCAGATATGCCGAGAAGAATGATCCAAATAAACAATCCGATACATATTGATCCGCCCAAAGTTAAAACCGTGGCGAATAACGAGAAAATAACAAAACATAGTACAGGCATCATTGCGAAAATGACGAATATCGCAATGAAAAGCTACAAATAATAATTTGATATTTTAGATTTTTTTTTCAATGTCAAATAATTTCACTTTATCTTTTTTCTTTGATCTTGTTCATTGTTATTTACCCCAATAAAAGGATGGCTTTTCGTAAAAGTTTGATATTCATGAAACAATTTTTCCGCGTAGTTTAATAAACTATTATGAAGAACGTTATATTAATTTGTTTGAGCATTTTCCATAAAAACTTTGCTTGGGAAAATACCTTTCGAATTTCATTTTGAAGTCGTTTCCCAAACTCTGAAAAGGGTTATCTTGTTGTGTCATTTCGTTATTCATTAAAGTTCCGCTTTTAAATTGCAAAGAATTTATGTATTTATATATGTCATGACGGTTTATCATGTTTGTTTGAGCTTTAGTATAGTCATAAAGACGTGACCATTAATGTGTTACAAACGCCAAAAACGTATTCAAAGAATAAGATTCATATGATTTCGAATTGGGAATATCACGTCATTTTCTCTCACCTTTATTCAATGAATCAAACACCTGTTAGTTTAATTGGAACTTTACGTGTTTCTTTTAGTTTTCACCCGTCGCTTTATTCCTTGCGCACAAAATCGGGTTTTGCAAGAATAATAAGAGGTATTTAAAAAAGGAAAATTTTCATTTTATTTTCATTTTATATTTATTTATATTTATTTTATTTATTTATTTTTATTCTATTCTATTAGATAATTCATCTTTTAGGAAAAATTCAACTATAGCTACGAATTCAAGTCAAATACTTTCTATTAAACAAGTAGCTGATCTAGGGCATCATCGTTTCGTAAACAATAAGTTGTATGATGGAAGTTTGGCCATTCCAACTGGTTTATCTCGCGGACTCTCATTGTCTATCGGTTTAGCTGGCTCTCATTATATTTTAGGCGTAGGAAAAGTAATTTATTGTACAGGTATGATAAAAAATTTTAAATTCTTTAATTTTTAAATGATGAAATTAAATATCCAATTTCATTTTTAGAAATAATTTCCGAGACAACTTTGCCTTCATCTCCTCAAACTTCCCCCACAAATCCTCAACCGACAACAAAAGAAACAAAAGAAAACGTTTTATCTCCTACCTCATCAACAGATAAACCAGATAAACCAGATACGCCACCTTTTTCCCCATTTGATTTCTTCAATGTTCAACAAATAACATTTGGTGCGTCAATGGGATTTGCATCAGGTTATTTTGTCAAAGAAGTATCAAAAACTGCAGCATTATTAGTAGGAGCTACATTCGTATTCTTACAAATCTTAGAACAACAAGGTTATATCAAAATTGATTGGAGTAAATTTGAAGAAAATTACAATAAAGTGTTAGATTTGGATGAAGATGGAAAAGTTACAACGAATGATTGGAAATTAATATTTTTTAAAGTTGTTGAATTTTTAGGAAGAAATTTTCAAACCGATGCTTGCTTTATGATTGGATTCGGTATTGGATTAAAATTCTGATAATTATGAAAATCTATTCAATCATATTTAAAATTTTCATTTGATATTTTAATTAGCATTAGCATAAAAAAAAGACAAATTTTGTAATTAACGAGATATTAATTATTTCAAAAGTCCATTAAATCTTGTACATAAAATTCAGAAGTATAATTACTATGGTATTATTAAGAAACTGTTAAATTAATCCTTTTTTTTTTTTCTTTTTTTTATAAATTACACCAAAAATTACAAGTAAATAAACTCTATCGTCTATAATTGCCCCTCTTTTTCTTTTTATCTTTCTTTCGCTTTTTTTTTTTTTTTTTAAAAAAAAAAAAAACTTTATTCCATTAATTATTGATTCACTTACGTCTGCCGAGTTTGAAGCAAAAGTTGTTGTTTCTATATTGATATAATAAGGCAATATTTTATTATTTTAAATTTTTACATAATTCATAATCATCATTTTACTCTTCAACATACCAACGCGATTAAGCTGTTTCTCTGCTCAGGCGATAACGAATCAATTTGTTGTTGTGGAAGATTAAGTACTTGCAAAAGAAGCTAAACGAATAAAATTAACAGAAAAAAAGAAATTATTTTTGTCATTAAAGAAATAAAAATTTAATGAATTAAGCACCTTCCAATATACAGACCTTCTGATTTGCTTCTGTCATTTGTAAATCGTCTATGAATATAGAAAAAGATTTGTCGTAAGTTAAAATTAATTTCTAATGAACTATTTGATTGCGGAATTGAAATTCTATTTACTTATGTTAACATTCCCAACGTATGACGTTGGAGTTCCGGCATTGCTCATAATGGATAACATTCCTGGCATACCCATTGATTGTTGTATCGTTTGTTGTAAAGGCTGCGGAATCGACTGCTGTATAGGTGGTGGTGGTTGTTGCATTGGCGGTTGCATGGGAGAAGGTTGGATTTGTTGTTGTTGTTGTTGCTGCTGCTGCATAGGTTGCTGCAATTGCCGCATCATCGGCTGTGGTTGTTGCGGCATTCCACCATACATTGGTGGCGGCTGTTGTTGCTGTTGTGGTGGTGGTTGATGTGGTGGTGGTTGTTGATGCTGCGGTTGTTGATGTTGTTGATGCTGCGGTTGTTGGTGTGGTTGATGCTGCGGTTGCTGATGTTGCGGCTGTTGGTGTTGTGGTACTACGGGAGCCGGGGGAACGTTTGGAGTTACGTTTGGAGGACCAAAGTTAACACCACCAACTACTTGACTAGAACTTTGTACCGGTGTGGGTTGATTCTGTTGCTGTGGTGCGTTTTGAACCAATAGACTCTAAAATATGATAAGAAATTAGAAGTTTGCAGAAAGAAAAAAAACAATTTTTTTTTACATGAAAACGAACCGGTAATATTGATGGATCAATGAGGTTTAATTGAACCATTATTTGAAACAACGAATATGATAATTGAGGATTTTGCGTTAATAATATACGAGCTTGTTCATAATGTGTTTGAATATACAACTAATTTAGGAAAGAATTTTTTTACGATTAGCCCATGAATCTTTGCAAGTCAGATCAAAAAAAAAAAAAAGTTACCTTCATTGTTGATAAAATCTCAAGAAGTTGAGCTTGGTTCATTGAGTTTTGTTCAGCTTGAGATAGATTTTCTATAGCGGTTTGCGATAGCGGTTGTTGTGCTATAGTAGTTGGAGGCGAAATAATTTGAGGTTGTTTCGGCGGTGTTGGATATGGTGCTTGTTGTTGTGTCGGCTGTTGGGGTTGTGGTTGTCGTGATGGTTGTGGTTGCTGTTGTTGTTCATTACTCGATCTATCGACTTGTGGAACTGTTGTAGAAGAAGCTGCAGGATCACCATCAGCATAATCAACTCTCAATTGTCTCCCGCCAACCTCTACATTATTTAGATTACGAACAGCACTTGCTGCGGTCTCGGAATCTTTTGGATTGAATTATAATTTAATATAAAATTTTAAATTCAATAAATCATAAATTGAGTGATCAATTATCCTCGTACCATGATACTCGCAAAAACCATATCCTCGAGGTCTACCTGTATCTCGATCGAAAACAAGACTAATTATACATTAAAGATGACATGTTATAGATTTTTGCTAAGAAAGTTAACACAATTGTATGATAAAATCTTATATGAAACAAACCGAAAAGACAATACTGGTCCAACTTCTTTAAAAACATCGGTTAACTGATCTTCAGTGAGTTCATATGGAATGTTTCCAACTAGAACGAATTGACAAGGTAGCGTAAATTGTTTAGGATTAATAAAGGTAACTATTTTTATAAAGATAAAAATAAAAAAAAAGTATTCACCAAAGACAACGTTTGATCCTCTCGGTCCACTCATTTCTTTTTTACAAAAATGTGAAGATTTTTTTCCTTTACGATGTTTACGATGTAAAATATGGTCGATGAGCTTGTGCAACAATCGATTTTATATAATACCTCATGCCGATCTAACATATGTTTGTTAGGCTAAAGCTATTTTTTCCGTTATTAAGTACAAATACGTATCACATGATTTTATATATTTTCAAACAAGGAACATATTTTTAGACTATTAATCTGCAATTTCTATACGTTTTTTTTTTCAAAGACAAAGAGAGCATATTCGAAACTTAAAAACAATTGTCTACTGCTGTTTCTTTAATTGTTAAGTTAGAAAATGAAATTCAGTTTTTAGTTGAGGATTTGGAAAGACTTTCCGATCTTGCTTCAGAGTTAAATAAATGTTATGAAAAATATAATGCTGTTCGAGACTTTCAATAAGAATTTAGAAGGATATAAAAGCCAAAACAAAGACTTGGCTCATCGTTTAGAACAGGTTCAGGTATCATGGCGAGCCTTGGACAATTTACTTAAATTAACTTTCCTTATCTTAGTTCTGATTTTCTTTAAATTTTACTATTTATTTGAGAAATGGCGTATTGTTTATCTGGCCTTGGGGCTACGGCTTGTCCGTATTGATTTTGCTGTCCCTTATGTTTACGCTCTCTTTTTTTTTTAATTTTTTTCTTTAATCTATCTTATATTATTTTATTTTTTGAATGTATTGTAATTTTTCTATTATATATTATATATATTCTTTTTTATTATTATTTCAATAAAATTATTGGCTTAAGCTACTTTTGCTTCTTTTAAAGTTTTTTTAATATGTTTCAATATATTTTACTAGAAATAAAACTCTTATATCATATTTAAAATCATAGTTTCTTTTGTCATTTACTTTCTTTCTTGAAAACATCAAATTAGCTTGAAAATCATATATGCTAAGCCAACAATATAACTACATTATCACAATATAGTGGCTTTCAAATATTATGCATCATCCCAATTGGAAAATTTTAAAATTTAATTATTTTGTATATATATGATAAAAAAAATAAAATTTATAATTTATTTAATTTATTATATAAAAGATAAATTTTTATTTTAATTTATTAATAAAAATTGAATAAATAAAAATTTAATCAAATTATTGTGATGCATTATTTTTAATCATTTCTGATACACAATCATAAATGAACAACTAGATAGAAAAAATCTAATCTAAACTAAAAAATCTTTTTTAATTTGAAGCTTACCATCTAATATAATCATCTTTTGCACATATTACATCATTAATATTAAAGATGGTGCTGCAACTGGTTATAATCTGTGACAAATAAGCATCACAGGATTGCAACTAGTTACAACATTTAAAATTGAGTTGCAATTAGTTGCAACCGGTAACAAATAAGTATCACATGGTTGTAACTAATTATAGCGTCATCTTTAATTAATATGCTCTAATATACTTTCTATTAATTTATTAAGAAGACTTTTCAGAATTGATCTTATATATGAATTCCTATAGAAAATCATCATATACATTTATTAATTTCATTTTATAAATATTTTATCAGATTTAAATTTGATGATTGTCAAGTAAATCAATATTATTATCCTCAAACCACTGTTATGTTAAGTTCAAGATATGTTTAAGATCATTATCCTATTAAAATATAATATCATTTTTAGCAATCCCATACTATTTAATTGTTCTTAAAAGATTATCTTTTAATATTTTTCAATATAATTTACCGTTCATATTCTCATAAATTCTTACAATGTTACTAATCATAAAAGAAGAAAAGTATCATCATACTATAATATACCCTTCACTAAATTTTACTGTAAGAATTATATGTTTATTAATAAGAAGTTCTTTAGATTATTTTCAACAATATTTACATTTATTAAAATTAAATATTATAAATTTGAACTCATCAGATCAAATTATTTTACTTTACTTTTTAACTTCTTAGTCTTTATATTTTTAGTGATTTTAAGCATAATTGATGATATTTTTTCTTTTAACTCTTAAAGAAAAACCATTTTTATATAATACATGCTCATAGTATTTTCACTTACAAAAATTTTACTATTGCTTTTTAGATTTTTTTTTGAATATTTGCAATAGTAAAATACTTCTTAGATGAAAACATTTTTATAATATTTTGCTTATCTCTTCTTGTAAAGAGTTTTGGATGACTTGACTTTAATAAATCCTTTACAAAACCTGTAGCTTCTACTTTCTACTTTATTTTAATAATAGTAGATTGAGCAATCTTCTTACGAAAAGTAATGAAATGAGATAAAAACCCTTCTTAAATAAATAAATGTATTCTATTTCTTTTTTTAAAAGATAAAAGTCTTATTTTTTTGAAAAATTTAAATAAAATAAATAAAAAAGGGACTGAAAAACAGTCTAAAAAATTTTTTTCGCTAGTTTATTTATAATTTATCAAATTCTATATATAATAACTAATTTGTAAACAAATGATCAAAAGTAACATATTACTATTTTTGAAAATGATAGACAAAAAATTTTTATTTTATATAATAACAAACAATAAAATATTATCACATAATAAATATGATTTCCTATAGTTAGAAAAAATTTTTATGCTATTATGTTATGTAATTTAAAAAATATTACTTTTTTTAATTTTTTCTTCAAATAATGTACAAACAATCAGAAAATTCATATAATTATAATTTAGAATAAATTTAATATAAATATAAATTTAAATTATTATTTTAAACCTATGTATAAAAATAAACTAGGTAATAGAAACTGTTGAAACATCCAAAGCATTTTCTAATTTATAAATCTCAAAATTAGTAAAATAAATATATTATATAAATAGCTTAATTATATTCAATATTTATTAGTAACTTAAAAATATAGGAATTTTATTTAATTATAAAAATATTAAAAAAACATGTTGTTTGATAACTCTTAATATGATCTTTAATATAATATATTTTTTATTAATTTATTATAAAAGTTTTTTATAGTCAAAAATTTTGTAATGTCAATTTTAATAATATTAGTAGAATTTTTAGCATCATAAATATCATGTAAAAAGACATAATTAGTGCATATAAAATCACTTAACAATATTTGATTAGCTAACTGTAACTTAAAAATTTTATTTACATATCTTCAAATTCTTTTAAAATGTTTATAATAATCTAATAATAAGATTATTAATATTTAACTACAAAAACAGCTGCTTTATCTGAAAGTTTAAGTTTGTAAATACATATATAGTAAACTTTTTCTATAACAAATTTTGATATAATAAATTTTACAATAAAACAAATCTTTAGTATAGTACAGATTTTTTTTATATTAAAAAATCTTATTATATTAAATTTACTAGTTAAAAGCTATATAATAATATAAAAAAAAATTTTTATAAATATATAAATATAAATGATCCTTTTTTAATGAATTTATTTTTATTTTAATATAATAAAAATTTTGAAAAATAAATTTACTTTAAAGAGAACCAGTTTTATAAAAGTAAATAAAAAAAATGTTAATAAATATTTTTAGAAAAGTCCATCCATCCCAAAAAAAAGAAATTCAACTTACTAGTTAACTTTCAAAGTCCAAAGAAAGTCAGTCCTAAAAAAAGAGAAAAAAGAGCATAAACATTCTCAAAGAAGTTTAAGTCTGCCTATTCTAAGAAGAAATTTAACTTACTAATTAGTTTTTAAGATCTAAAGAAGACCAGTTCTAAAAATAAAAAACATAAAAAAATAAAAAGAAATAAAAGTGAAATATAAAAATTAAATAAAAAGTAAATACTAAATAAAAAATAAAGCAAAAATAAAAATTAAACGTAAAGTATAAAAATTAAAAAAAGAATGAAATATCTAAAAAAAAATAAAAATATATATATAAAATAAAAAAAATATATAAAATGAAAAAAATGTAAAAAAAAATGTAAAAACTAAATAAAAGTAAAAAAAAAATAAAAAAACTAAACTTAATACCTAAATTTTTTATTTAATAAATATTTAATAAAATAAATCTTTTAATATTTATAACTAATTAATTTTTATTAATCTTTAATTAATATTTATAAAATAAAAGTAAAAAAGAAAAGTGAAATTAAAAATAAAAACAAAAGTAAAAAAATATCAAGAAGAAAGGAAAAAAAGGAAAAATCAAACAAAAAATAACTAAATCAACAAAAAAATAAAAAAAATCAGGGAAATATAAAGTGAAATAAAAAAAATATAAAAAAAATAAAAAAAATAAATTAAAAAAAAGGTGGAAAAGAAGAGAAATCAAATAAAAAAATAACTAAATCAAGAAAAAAAATGAAAAAAAAATAATGAAAAAAGATTAAGAAAACGAGAGTAGAATAAAAAAAAAAGATATAAAAAAATAAAAAAATAAATTAAAAAAAAGCAGAGAGGAAAGAAATAAAAAAGAGCAATATAAATTTTTTAACTTATAATTACATAAATATATTGACCATTTTGATTGGTCTGATTAAATGATATTTCATTATAACAAATTATTTATTATATAATCTCTGGCGAAAAGAATAATGGTAGAAAACTGCATCTATTTTAGGCTGTACTTTTACCACTTTCTAGATTTAAGTATTTGTTTATATACCCAAATTAGATATTATAACCAGAATTAAAAAGTTAAGTTAAAAAAATAAGGTTTGTTATTTGTTTTTTTTTGATTTCCTTTCCAAAACTATGCCAAGCTCTTTAAAAATACAAAGAAATTCTATTAAATCACTTTGGGATCAAAAAGTATGTAATACAAAGGAAATTTCTAATTGATTATACATTCCTTTACACACATGTGAATAATATATCAGTTTATTAAATAAAACTGGTAAAATTTCTATTGGTCACTCTTCTGCCCGTCCAAGAAAATTAGTTTTAAATCAATACCACTATATTAGAAAAATTCTGTAACATAATCATTTTACTACAGCAGGCGAACTTAAGGTAAAATTAGAAGAAAAAGATCTCAACCTTGATGTTAGTGAATATAAAATACATCATGAGCTCAACAATTTTGGATATGTTTCTGTTCTTCTAAGAAAGATTTATTTTTTGATCCAAAAAGTGAAAGATTTTTGTTTGTTTTAGGTATGTGATCATTCGCAATACAACTGAAAAAAAGTTATTTTTTCTGATGAAACAATACTTCAGATATTTAGAAATACCATATATGCTTAGTCTCATAATGCACAACTAATTGCCCTTATGGTAAAGTATCTATTCAAGATTCATGTTTAAGCAGCGATTAGTGCTAAAGGAAAAATCAGCATTTATTTGTTTACTGAAAATTTAGATTATTATTTATATCAAAAAATCTTAGATAACTATCTGTATAATAATGCAGATATATTATACAGATGCAGCTGGATTTTCTAACAAGATAATGACCTAAAATACATCTCACATGATGTTCAAGAAGACTTGAAAAAATATCTTTCAGAATGAGTTCTTTCTTGACCTTCATATAGCCCAGACTTGAATCTTATTGAAAATGTTAGGCTGTATTAAAGAGAAAGGTGAAGAAAAAGATCAAGTATTTAGTAGTAAAAAAAAAAACATTACCTGCAATATATTTCTTAATACAATTCAGCAGAAATGGGATGATCTTGATGATGTCATATTACTTCAGTATATTGAGAGTATGCCAAGCTGGATTAAAATATGTATCAATGCAGAAGGAGGATACACCAAATATTAATTAATAATATAAAAGTTGTCATTAGTATTGTTCTTATAAATAATAAAAATATATATATATATATTAAAATAAAGTTTATACATACTGTTGAAATATGTTTCTATCATTCTTTTCGTCAAGAACTGTATATACAGAATAATTCATTATAGTGATAATAAATTTTCTTATAATGAAAATCTGATTAATCTGAACATTAAATTCATTATATCAAATTTTAACTGTATAAAATGTAATATTCTTTTTTTTCAAGATCATCAATTAATATTTAAATAATTACATTAACTCTTAATAAAGATATCTTAGAGATTATTTCAAAATATTTGACATAAGTTTTCTCAAATAAATCATTATTATTATAATTAAAATTATTTAAAAGTAATAACAAATCACTATTATTATTCACATCATATGAGTAATATAATATTTTTCTCTTATTAGTTTCTTTCATATAAATCTGATAAACTATATTACTATAAATATTTAAAAAATTATTTAGGTGGGTTTTTTATTAAAATAGAAGTATCACTTTCTTTATATAATCTATAATCTAAAATAGTTTTGTTAAATTTAATTGAAAAAAATTAGACTCTTATGAAAGATTGAGTTTTAAAAAAGATTTCAATATTTGTTTAAAGTATTTTAAGATTAGACAGTCAATTTTTAAACAGTTTTAAAAACACATTATTAACCAAATTCTTGAGTTTATCTTTGAATCTAATTCATTTATTTTTATTTATCTTATTATAATTAAAAAAGGATTTTAATAGATAATTATATTATTATAGGTAATTTGAAAATAATTAATATATTTAAATAAGATAATTAGATAATCTGAAATAGATATATCAATAGAAAGCATATTACTTTTAAAATAAGTTCTAAAGTTATACAAATATAATCAATATACGATGATGAATTATTTTGAGAAAAGGTATAATTTTTCAAATGATTGTTATTAAACATAACTGAAAAATATTAAATATATTATAATGTGTAAATAAACTTATAAAATAAATTGTAAGAAGAAAATTATTATTGAAACAATCTATATTACGTTAAAATCTTTAAGAAAAATTATATGATATTTGTCTCTGATTATCTTATTTAAGAACTAAACAACATATCTGCATATTTGTTTAAAAATGTTATCTTTAATTTTTTCTGACAGAAGGTATATATATTGATAATAAAGAGTTTTTATTTATTAGTAAACTGAAGTTTTACATAAATAATATAATCAAATTTTAAAGTATTGTGTTTAGTAAATTTTAAATTGGAAAAAAATTAATACTAAATTTAATAGATTAAGTGTTTTGATTTTGACTAAAAAAGATAGTATAGTCAGAAAAGAAATGATTAAAAGTGGATGAATTATTAAATTTAAAGTTAGTTTCTGTAAGATTATAATATTATAGTGAAAAGTTAAGTATAATAAAAAGAGATAATTTTGTTAACAAGATTATTTAAACCTTAAATATTATGTAAAGCAATAGAGAAGTTGTAAAATTTAAAATTGTTAGGGATATTATCTATAGTATTATTAATTCTGTAATAATAGTAATCATCAATTAAAAATAAATTATTAGAAAAAGTTGCTAAATTTATTTGTCTAAAGTATTATTTAAGATAATAAAAATATAATATCATGTTTGTTTAAAAGGTTATTATTGATAAATACAGTTTAAAAATCATCATAAGTTTTAAGAAGTTAGTTAAGAAATAGTATAAACTCAGAAACTCATTATTACTATTATTAACAGATAGTAAGTAATTATGTATAAGTTTATTTTTGTAAATAGATAGTATAACTGAAAATATTAATATAAAAAATTACTGATTAGTTTTAATTGCAAACTTAAGAAGAACATTGTTATAAGTATCTGTATCTTATAAGGTGATGACTTTAATTTTAAGGATCTATTTTATAATAATTTAATATTATTAAAAAACTTAAAAGTTTTACAAATATTATCTAGAATATCAAATATTAAGGTAAATTGTGACGTGATAAAATTTTTGAAATTTGAATTATACTTAGATTTATCTTTAGCTATACTATTTTTAAACTCAGGATAAATTTAAGTGTCTAACAGGTAATTTGCTAACTTTATTAGTTTATAAGTCTAGTTGAAAGCTGAAGAATTTGGCTGAATATTTTTAATAGTAAAAGGGTTTGAATTTTTTGAGAAGGGAAGATGATTGCTTATTTTAATATAAGGGTTTAGTTTTTAAAAGAGGTAGTTTAGTAGCATTTGCGAAAGTGATATTTTCTTAAATAGCATTTTTTTGAATAGGTTTTTTGAAAGCTATATAATTGGCAAATTAGATTAGCTAGAAACATTAGTAAAGATTTTTAGTATTCTATTTTTAAAAGTAATAAGTCATTTTGAATAATTAGATGTATTATGATATGCAAACAAACAGATAATACATAGATTTTCTTAAAATTAGTCTATTTGTATCATTTACCATTTAAACTGAGATTATTTTTAGAAAGTGTAACCTCAATATCATTAACATTTATGAAATAAAAGTATGTATGTTAAAGGTAATTATAATTTGAGCGAGCATAAAAAATTATTTAGGTAAAAGCGTTAATCATTTGCTTTATATTAAGAATATTATATAAAATAGAATTACATAAAAGGTTTAAGAGTTTTAAAAAGAATCTAAATTAATTTTAAACTTTTTTTAAGTTTATATTATATATTTAGATATGAATTATGTCATTAATAAAAAACTCTATCTATTTTCTTAAGTTTAATGAAATTTACTTTTCATCAAAAGTAATGATTACACATTACAGTTAACTTTTATTATAATGAACTCTATATTCTAGACCTCAACTTCTCTATAAAGCTATAGTAAAGATTTTAAGAGATTTTATTGGCTAATTTGTTATAACAAAAGTATTTTTATTATATTTATTCAAAAAATTTATTATATCAAGAATTCATTATATCAAAAGTTAATTGTATCAGAGATTATAGATTTTTATTATATATCAGATGATATTATTATATTTAAAAAAGGTTTTTAATGCATATTATAATAGCGTTAAAGTGAATCTTAGTAACTAAGATTAACTGATCAATAATGTAGAAGTATTATCATTATATTGTTAATAGTAAAAACATAGCCTTATTCATTTTAGGTATATATATAGAGTAAAAATTATTTCGTTCAATTTTATCTAAAAAAGTGACTATTAAGATGTTTTAGTAGGATTAGAAAGGAGTTTTTCACATATAACTTTACAAAATAATTTGTATTAAAAATAATAAAAAACAGTAATCTCAATAGTCTTTATTAGGGGTTGATCTAAAATATTTTTTTAAGAAAAAAATTTTTACACTAATGATAGGAAATGCAAAAATAATGTAATTATTGTCAAAAGTATTTTCTAATGAATTAGAAAGATTATTAATAATTATTTCTTTATTGTTCTTATTTAAAGTTAGTAAAATTTCTTCTTTATTTATATTTTTATCAGTTTTAGTTAAGCTTTCTTCTAAAATTTGATCTACTTCTATAATATCTTTTTTAGTTAAAGTAGTTAAAAGAATATTATTAAAGGCTTTTTATTCAGTTGTTTAAAACATATTTTATTTTTTGCTAGAAGTTTATTAAAACTTAGTAATATTGAATAACCATAGTTAGAATTTTTATTCAATTTATTTATATATATAATGATAGTTAAAAACTGTTTTATCCTACCTATCTATTTTTTAAGTCATCTAATTCTACTAAATTTTTTTTTAAAGTGTGATAATTCTACAAAATCTTTATTATGATAAAAGTAATTTATAAAATAAAGTACAAATCAAAGAAATTACAGAAAACTTATTTTAAATTAATTAATAATTAAATTAAAAGAAGACTGATTTTGCATTTTTTTAAAATCAAATTTAATTTAAATTAAGTATAACATTTTTTAAGAAATATATAAAGAAAAAGAAAATTAGAAAGCATAGTTACTACTATACTAAAAATTCGACTAATGAAATCCTAAATATACTATAATATCTATGGGATTAGAGTTAAAAGAGTAGAAAGAATAGTTAGAAGAAGTTAAAAAATTAGAGAAAAAGAAAGCTTATTTCTTCACTTTAATATTAATATTAGTGGTTTTTTTATAATCAGATTGAATTTGACAATAATTTATTCAAATTTTATATATTGTTACTATTAAATTCTTTAACTTAAGTTAATTATATCTTTAAGTTTCTATTCAAAATTGCTAACTGCAATTAATTACAATTAAGATGTTAGAATCTGCTTAAGTTTAACTTTACTAAATCTATGTAAAACTTTACAAATCTATCAAGTATGAAGACTTAAAAGATGAAATTACAAATAGATTTAATTAAAGAATTTAAATAATAAACTCAATTTCAAATAATATGTAAGAATTATGTCAGATTATATAAAGTTATGAAGAGACAGAAAAATATAAGTCTTAATTAATTCTTTTATTAATATTGAAACTCATATTTATAAAAGAGTTAATTTACAGCATAAGTAAAAGTTTATCTATTTAAACAAAATTTTTTTATTATAGCTAATTAATTATTATACTATAAATTAATTAATTTAATAAGTAAAATAAATAAATTAAAGATAATAAAATATGTAATAAAGTAAAATAATAATAAAAAATAAAAATATTAAGAAAATGTATTAAATTGAGTATTCTTAAATTTTGTTTAATTCATAAAATTAAGGTTATTATTAGTATTTTATAAATCCGCAGAATTTTATAGATTCTTTGTATCTTTAAAATTTGCAGAATTCTCAGTATTTTCAGAATTTTAGATTAAAAGATTATATATTACATCATTTACGTAACTTTATTATTATTAGTCAATTGCTTCATTATAACATAATCATTCTAATTCTTCTACTTTTTGAAATGCTTAGTTAGGTTTAAGAATAGATCTGTAGAAACATTTCTTATAAAGTTATGTAGCTCAAGAACTAATTTCTATGCTAGATACTGTATATTGAATTCTATCAAAATTTCTAGCAGATTTACATTTTCATTTTATATAAAAATACTGTTGTATTATATAAAGTTTTTCAGTCTGCTTAGGTAAGCACAAAATTTCTGTAAACTCTTTATTTTACGAAAATGCTTTACATTATTTTAAACCTATTACTAAAAACTGTAAAGTATAGGTAAGATATAATTAGCATAAAATTTGGTCAAAATAATTTTTTTAATAAATGAATTGCTTTAAGCTTTTTTTATTTGTGTTTGTATATTTATTTCACAAACTTTACAATAAGCATAATCTCCTTCTACATGAAAAAAAAAGTTATATGGCTGAGGTTTTTTCGAGTTGAACCAGTTTGTTAAATTTGTATAATGGTATCAATTACTGTATTTCCGAGCCAGAAAATGTAGATGATAAGCTTGTCATCTGTTCATGTAGATCATTGTTGAATTCATAAGTTGTTTTTTACGTAAATTTCGTTTAACAAATATAAAACCGGTTGCGAAAATCGGTTTTCAACCGGATTTGTAAAAAACCGATTTGAAAAGGGTTAAACCGGCTGCACCCGTTTTTAAATTCGTTTTTCAAAAATTCCAACCCTATTACGTAACATTTTTAATAAATACCCGTCGGAGAATCAAAAATCTAATGATCATTTTTTCTCCGCGTACTGTAATTTAACTTTTTGCTATGCTTATTAATTTTTTCGTGGCACATGACTTTCAGCATATACTGGTAAACGAAAGGCTGAGGAGGAATATGGTGTGATTGCGCCTAGTAAGTTGCATTTGTTTTATTATTATTACAGCGAGAAGTTTAATAATTTCTACCGCAAGGTTTTCTGATTAATTTTTTTTTTTTTTTGTAAATCCAGAGCGTCGCTTCTTCGCTTCCGCTAACGAGGCTTATCCCGATTCTAACTTCTTTATTGAACCTGAAGTCGAAGTCGAAAAAGTGGCACAATTTCTCCTTCAACGTAAGTTCACTCTTTTGTTTGGGCATTGCCAAAGTGGCAAGTCTACAACCTGTCATGCGATTCTACGATGGTTTCGAGATCATCCGGAAAAGATTAGAGAAGCTGGGTTTGATCCACAGAAATTGGAGATTCGAATGGTGACTTTCGACGCCACTGTTAATACTAAAGATCCTTCTGTGCTCTGGGAGAGTATATGCAAAAAATTCCGAACTACAGACCGAAAACTGTTTAGTTTTGATACAGCCGAGAAATGTACGTCCAGCACCTTCCAGGATTTCTTTTCAAAAAGATATCTCCTCTCACCAAAGCCAATTATTCTCATCGTTGATGAGGCTTCGCGCCTGTCCGCTGGCGATGACTGCACTGTGGAATTCATTGATTCATTGCGGACACTCAAAGGTGACCGTGTTAACTTTTGTCTCATTTCTATTATACTCGTTGGCACAGCAACCATTAGGGATTTTCTGATTTCTCACCAAAGACCTAACGCTATATCCAAAATTTCGCCATTTTCGGCGGAGGCATGCTTGACATGCAGTCAGTTTACTAAGGCTGAAGTTGAAGATCTTTTTAAACAGTTCGCCACCAGTATCAATGATAGCTTCGATTTTATCAATATCGCGCCGGATATTTTCGAGTTCACCCTTGGCCATAAGGGTCTCGTTGGTGCTTGCGGTGATTATATTCAAAATGCCCATTCTTATAATAATACTCCTATTCAAACGCTCGATGATTGAAAAAAAGCACAACCTATTAAACTGCCGAATCGCATAATAAATATGGCAACGTATGAATCCATCGTGCGAAATCTAGACACTCTCACGTCCTCACGTCGACGTATACTTATAAAAGTGTTACGTTTTGGCACGTGTCAAATTGATCTTGTAAGTTAAATTACCTCTTCATTAACCTGCCATTGATCTTCGATTCATCATAAATATTTTCCTTTTTTAAAAAAAAATAATAATAAGAGCGACGATGATGCAAGATTTCTCCTTGCTGAAGGAATGATATTTGCGAAACGGGAATTACCTAATGATATTGGGAAACCGAAATCGCCGCACCTATCCTTCGTAGCTTAATAATTTCCACCATATCTCTGCGTCTATCCATACCTAATAACCCACCGGATACAAAAACGCTTGATACTCGATGGTTGTTGGCACGTACTATTGAAGTATGTTTTTTTTCCTAAAAAAAAAAGAATTCTTATTGGTGATTGGAATACCATATAACACTTAGTTTCTAAATGTTATTTCTATACAGAATTTATGTGTCCGTAACCTCTACTCTGAAGAGACCCTGAATGTAAATGAACACCCATCCGAGTATGCTTTTCAATCTGAGTTTGCTATCCTCTTCAAGAATATACTTAGCCATGTATATCCAAGTTTGCGATACAGAGTTTTGGTCGAAGCAAAGGAGTATGTGGAAAGTGACATCCGCCGTCAGCGTTTAGACCTCCTCATCCGTGACGGTTCTACACTGCCCACATATGGCTTTGAACTTGTCGTTTCAGCAAGCAAGACGAAATTTAAAAACGACATCAAACGTTCGCAACACTACGGGAAAATCCATAATTGTATTATGTTCATGGTTAACCTATGTCCCAATCCCATACTGGGTTCTTATTTCGGAGAAAGTGATGAGCAGTTTGAGGATAATGATGAGGACGAGAAAGTGGAGGAGTATGAAGAGTATGAGGAGTATGAGAGGGTTACTGTAAATCCGGTATAAAAAAGAACGTGCGGGAGGCATGGCAGGGAGAATTAAAATATAAAGATGGAAATTCTGATGTTGTGTCTATTTGTGATTCTGAATGGAGCATGTTCTTCAACAGAACATAGTCTATTCGACAGTTAAGACACCTGAAATTGAAAAAGTAAAAATATAAATCGAAAAGGTCTGCTGAAGAAAGCCCCAACATAACTAACGGTTGCATTGCATTATTTGCTTTTATCTTAAATTTAAATATCAATTTATACTTTATAATGCACAAATCCATTTTATCTCATTGCTTGCTAAAAAATGTTTCACTTATTTTCCCTCTGGACTAGTCTCTAACTAATAAAGCTAGTGAGGTGTTTTCTGCTGTAATCAATTATTTGAGTACCAGTACAGTTGCTTTAAACATAACGATTTGTTTCGTCTGGATTTTAATAAGGATAATAGAAGTTAACGGCGAAAAAAAAAAAACTAATTAATTTTAGACTTTAAAACTTTCGTTATCGTATCTTGATTTTTATTATTATTTGAACAAATAAACAAATTACAACTACAAGGATATAAAAGCTCACAAAATTCAAACCGAAAACGAAAAACTACCTGATTGCAAAATATGATAGTACTTGTTCGCTACTAGTAAACTAGTACCCAGGTTGCACGACGAGGACGTCAGTACTAATCGCAACCCA